AGATTCAACCACATGTTTTGTTTTTTTTAGTCTAGGTGTCAAGCTTCTGAATAACTATAAATTAAGAGCTAATATTAATTAGCACCAGAGTGCTAATATGCAGATTGAATTCAAGGTTAAAGATAACTGATTGCCAGTATCAATTTAAATTTGCAACATGAATCAATAAAAGATATGTTCACATATCTTATATCATTGGGAAACATCTATAGCTGTTTCATTTTCTGCCAGAATGGTGTAGAAAAAACAAAGGTAGGAGACCTTTAGTGGGTATTAATCCTGCAACTTTTAAAAAGCTTCCTATGATATCTTTCTATATCTCTGTGGTGACTATAGCCTCCTTGTTAGTTTTGCAGACTCAGATTGAAGACATTTTCTCCTTCCAAATTCTAGACATTAATAATACATGCTTGCATAATGGACAGATCTTTACTCTGAAATTGTCAGATACCTCAACTCCTCCCTCTGGAAAAAGTTTGTTCCTTTGAAATCTAGAGCAGAACTCAGGGAGAAGTTGTGAGTTGTGTTTGGGAAAGAGTGGGGCTTCTGATTATTATTTGGAATCCCTCCCGCCCCCCGCCCCCAAAAAAAGAAGTCCAGAGAAAAAGAAGCAAAGGAATATATAACTGTGTGTGTGTTTGTGTGTGTGTGTTTTTAATTCTTTGTTCAAGTTCAGGAATTGTGTATAATTTCAGCTTTTTATTCAAACCTCAGACTTGTTCGTGAAGTTAATTTTTTTGCAGAACTGTCCTATAATAATTTTGAAAACTTCTCCAGTATCTTTTCATGGAGACTAGGAACAGTCATTTGTAGATTTTTCTTGTCTAATTCATTTGCAGATTCTCTATCCCATGATCTGAACAGTACTGTAATTATTTTTTTTTTTAGTGCTGAATGTAATTTTATATGCATTTTATAATTAAAAAGAGAGTTTAACTTTTAGCTTTTTTTAAAATAAAGTTTTGGGTTTTTTACCACTTGTGGCACTTGCTATCTCCCAAAGAGGGAGAAAAGGGCTGAATCCTCTACAGGCAGTTCCTGTACATTAGATGGCGAGGAGATTACACTATTGGAATTATTTCTACCTTTTGGGTTTTGACCTTTTAATTGCCAGAAAAGAAGCACAAGGTATGAAAGCCCTATCTGTCTCATACATCAGAGTTAGGGGATGGTCAACAGGTGAGGTATCCCCTGAAGGATTATTGTTGTTGTTGTTGTTTTTAACAAAAAAGCAAATTACATATAGCAGAGAACTACTCCACCAAGTGTTCTAATGTATGAAATATTTAAGATGCAGAAAAGTCAGAAAAACCAAGGAATCCACAAAAACACTTGGAATCTCTTCAAATCACTCCAAAGGCACCTGACTGGATTTCATACATTAAATCACTTCAGTGATTCAACTCAGTTTAAAAGGATGATTCAACTGATCCATAGGATTTGTGTAGAAATGAAGCATATAGGTAATTTAGTAAAACCACAAACATAATTTCAAGTAGCAATGTTGAAATCTGTCATGAACACCACCATGAGTCCAGCTGGAAAGTGGCCATATATTAAATAAACAAATAGTATGAGGTTTGTTAATATAATCTATGCAGATTGTGATAATAGTTGAAAATACTATATACATGTATCCATTATTTTCTTAACCACTTATATCTAGCTCATTTATGGATTCCCTCCACTGATGAATGATAAAACTCCAGGCCTTTCTTTTTACCAGATGGTTCCCCCAGAAGCCCTTCAATATGCAGGGGTTGTCTCACTGCTCTTGCATTTCAGGTGGACCTGGATTGGGATTCTTATTATGGACAATGACCATGGAGAAAAAATGTCACAAACTGTGATTCCACTACTTTCCAAAAAGGGGATTTGTTATTCTTTAATTGAAAGAATCCCAAAATTTAGTGATATTACTAAACTTGATGGTATGATTCAGCAGGGGGTAAAAATATATGAAAATGTCATGAGTACTAAAGCTAATGCATTTGTGGTCTATGGAGAATCTTTCTCCATGATGTTCTTGAGATGGTTGCAATATATGCCAAAGCTGGAAGCAGTGAGAAGTAAACCAAAAGGTGTTGTGTGGATAATGACAGCCCAGATGGAGTTCTCTTCATCAGCCTTTCAACTCCATTGGGATACAGAAATAATGCATGGTGCTCTCTCCTTCTCAATGCACTCTGCTGATCTACCAGAATTCAAATCATTTATTCAGAAAAAAAATCCCTTCAGCACAAAGGAAGATGGATTTATTAGTCTATTCTGGCAAGAAGCTTTCAGCTGCGTGCTTCCTAATATGGCGATGAGTGATTTGCCTGAAAATATTTGCAATGGAACAGAGGATCTGAAGAGCCTTCCTGAATCTCTTTTTGAAATGAAAATGACTGGTCACAGTTACAGCAGCTACAATGCTATGTATGCTATAGCTCATGCATTACACGCACTGTCCTCTTTTAAACATAAACACAAAGCTATGGCAAAGAGAAGAGGAGGAATGATATATAATCAAGGCTTCTGGCAGGTAATGGCACCAACATCCTCATCTGATGGAGCATCATGTACGTAAGTGTGATGGCAAAACTGTCTGAATTTCAGTAACTTTCCCATCTCCTAGCAATGTAGCAATAGCTCTTAGTTTTATCAGGATTCCTTTTAATTATTACTGAATTTACTATATAAATATAGTACTGTACACTGATTCGTGCTGGGCACTTTTCTGTGTTTAGGATTTTAATGGCATATTTATTAGTATAATTATAATTATTAGTATAATTTTAGAAATCCATTTTCTGACTCTACAACATCTCCATTTGATTATATATATGGACATACTATATAATAGTACGTATATGTACATGTACTGTATATATGTATATATACTATGTATATATATACATACACACAAACACAGAGACACACACATATGTGTATTTCTAACTTCCAGGGTCTGTCATGTGCATATACGTATACATAAATATATGATACTTTGACTCTAGAAGTTAGATAACTTTTGGTGTAATGGAATCAGATTTTCTATTAACCATCATTCAAATTTTGTGGTAAATAAAGGGGAATATTAGTACAATCTGTTGTTTTGTTTCTTCTCTAACTCACACCAATCTGGCTTCTCCCACTGAGTCTTACAAATGATTTCCATAACTCTCTCTCCTGCTTAACTGAAATAAAAGAGAGAGAAGAAATGAAATGGAATGTGTACTTTTCTGGTTTTCTGCAACAGATAATGCCATCATGAAGAGGAAAATGTTCTCAAAACTGTGGTATTTAATTTTTTGCTCTAGCTCCATTATTTTCTGAGAGGCATTTCTTTTAACAACAGTGCTGGAGACCTGGTTTCCTTTGATCAGAATGGAATAGTAACAACTGGATTTGATGTCATCAACTGGATTGCTTTCCCAAACAAATCATTTTTTCGTGTGAAAGTTGGAAAGGTGGATCACTTAGCTCCTCCAGATGAAGTTTTAACCATCAATAAAGAGGTCATTACATGGCACAGTTGGTTTAACCAGGTGGGATCTATTTATCATCCATGTTTTGGAATTATGTATCTCTATTCTAATATGTAAATTCCTTATGTTCAACAATGGTAAATATTATGAAAGAGTAAGTGAATTAATCTCACTATATGAATTTATATAATAACTGACCCTCTGATCTACAAATGTCTGCCCTAATTGCTATGATTTTCTTTTTATTATGTGAGAAATGTTTGGAAGATTATTTATTTATTTTATGCAATTGAAATAGCCTCCCTCTCGACCTATGACTCTGGGTGGCGAACAACAATTAAAATTAAGCATAAAAAGAACAAAAAACATAAGACACATATATCCACATATATCCACATCCACAATCCCCTGAAAAATGGATTTACATAACATCCTGGTCCAATGTCTGGGGGGAAAACCATTTCTAATGCCTCACAGAAAGCCATCAGGTCACTTATTATCTAGTCTCTACAACTTTCATAATCTTTGCTTCCCAGGATCTTTTGCTAGAAAGGAAAATATTTAGTTTATGTGGGAAATGAAACATCCAGATACTTTTACATTCA